TGCAATCCGATTGGTCGAAATTGTGCGACCTGAAACCGTAGCTCCCACGGATGTTGGTGGGGACTGACTGACATTTTTCAAAATGGTTTCTTTGTTAGCTGTTGAATTTGAAACAAAATCGTTTTTTTGTGGTACGTTTTGAAGTTTAAATTGACAAAAAGGCTGCTACTATGCCTAAAGACCAAAGCCCTGGGTATTTCTTGACTTATCTTGATTGCTAAAGACACATAGTGACACTGGATCAATAAGCTAGGGATAATGGGAAGAACTGTTTAGAACTGATAGAGCGCGCTATCCGGTATATGGATATACTGTAGTTAGTTTAGATTTCCTCCTGATTGGATCAATAAGGGATGCCAATTACTGGACCTAGAGGAAAAACAGTTTACAACTGATAAAACTATCCAGTATAAATAAATTGGAACAGTTAAACTGATAGAGCTATAATATTCAATATGAATAAAGTTAGTTCAGCTTAGGTTTCCTCCAGTAGAACTGATAGAGCTATCTTGTTTAATAAATAAAAATTTAGCGATTTAGTTTATATATAGATTAGTTAAGTTTTAACTCATACTTCTATAATCTACGTTGTTAGGCTTATCAAAGAATCAGCTACTAAACATCCCACGTTTACCACTCCCCCAAACATCTGCTAAAGCAGTACAGTTATTTAAGACCTCGCCCGCAGAACGTGCGTCAATTTCCAGACTCCGAAAGCAGTTCGAACCCAAACGGTCATTGCAGAAGAGCGATTTGAAAGGTGGCGATGCAAAACTAGGCTTCATGTTGGATGACGTTATGAATGCCAAAGGTATTGAATAGGCAATTCCAGCTTTTTGTTTATGCCTGCAGGGGGATGATGGGAAGTAAGGTATCATATTGTTTGTTTATGCCTGCAGGGGATGATGGGAAGTAAGGTATCATATTGTAAATACTCGTTACAATAGTAACGCGTTACTAATTACAAATTACTTTTTGAGTAATTTTGATGGTAATTAATTACTTTCTTTACTGAAGTCATTTGTAACGTAATTAATTACTTTTTGAAGGTAACGAGTAAAGTTTTCTTAAGTAACGTGCGTTACTTTTCAATTTTACTTCCGAATCTCTCATAACATTCATTGCACATAATCTAAAAAGTAGTAAAACGTTTTTCTAGTCCTACCTGCCTAAGGTTGTCTTAAGAACTAGTGGAACGAATACGATGTTATTTATATCATGTTTACAAAATTGAAACATTTTTTAAATGAGCCTGCAATATGTGAAATGTGCGGCCGAGCTTTCACCATTAGTACATTACTTCATGTATTGATAGGGTTAATCACGGGGGTTATAATTTTACTCGAAAGAAGCGGTAAGCAAGATTTAATCATTAAATATGGATGAACTTAGTATGTCACTATGTGTAGAAGTAAAATGAAAAGTAATTTTGAAAGTAATTGGTAATTAATTACTTTTCAAAAAGTAATTAGTACGTGGTAATTAATTACTTTTTTTAATTACTTGTAATCTTTAATTTTAATTACTTGTATTACTTTTTAATTACTTTTTTAATTAATTGTAAATTACTGTAATTAATTACTTTAATTAATTACTTGTAATCTAATCAATTACTTTTTAGGAAAAGTAATGGTAATTTCTACTCATTACTTTTTTCCAGTAATTTTTACAACACTGCCGATTATGCTGAAAAATGTCAATAAAAACTGCCGAAACAACCGAAATATTTCAATATTTACGAGTATAAGCTATCAGTCCGTGTTTACACGGCCACCATTTTTATTTTTTCAGCATTATCAGCAATGTGATACCTTACTTCCCATCGTCCCCTGCACGCATAAACTAAAAGCTGGAATTGCCTATTCATGATTACTCGATCGTTCTATTACAGATTGAGGCACGGCGGAGAAAACATGCACATTTTAACACATTTGATATAAAACGGTTGAAATAAACTTTTGTCTTTTCATTTTCTGCTTTTGTTTTAAGCAAGTGAGACCAAGTGAATTGTAGACTCATTGGTATTTACAAAGCGAATCGCCATTTTGTTTTTTCAAATCATTAAAAGACTAAATTTTGATCTCAACAAGTCTAGACAAAAATTTCATCACATCTTGAAAGAGCATCATAAAATTAGTAATATTCCAAAGTTTCGTTGCGAAATGTTGTAAAATGCGGATAATATAGCCTTGCGAAATTTGCCGTTTTTCAGTCATTTTCTATTACAAATGTGAAATTGACAGCCCCCAAAAGGGTATTGGGCTGTCAAATTTCCCCCGCATAATATGCAAAATGACTGAAAAACGGCAAACTTCGCAAGGCTATATTATCCGCATTTTACAACATTTCGCAACGAAACTTTGGAATATTACTAATTTTGTGATGCTCTTTCAAGCTGTGATGAAATTTTTGTCTAGACTTGTTTATATCAAATTTTAGTCTGTAATGCAAATGGTCCATTAATGAAAAAATCGCACTCCTCTTAACAAATCAGATTGCAGTCATTTTGTCATAAAAATAATAACTATAAAAATTCTCTTTACTTACATTTCAGCTTCTGGGTGAGTATCTGTAACGATGAATGTGGACTTGACGTCATTTCAAAGGAATTGAAAAGACTGAAGTACTTCCCGCCTGCATAGAATACAGGCGTTAATGCAAAGAACTTGATAACTATATACAAGTTTATTATTAGCTTAGCCTGCAATTTTTAGAACAAATTATTTTAGCATGTAATTCTAAAAAATATAGCTTGTAACTCGAATAAAATTCATGCAATGATATGCGACATTGCGACGGTTAAAATGATATATTTGAGGTTTAATTTTTGCTGATATATCCACAATTATTAAGGTCTCCATCTCACTGAGACCTTGATAACTCTGGATATCACAAAAACTGTTTAATTATACATTGCATTTTCATTAATCTTTCGACAAGCAATGATTTGTCTCACAAAATAACGTTTAGTTGTTACGAAAAGTAGTGAAATCAAGTTCAAATATCACAATAGCAGCATAAAAATATTAGAAATCTGAAATTTCCAGCACAAGCATACGTCCGAGAAAAAATGCATGCGTACAAGCTGAAATTTCACCCCCCAAAAAAAAAAGAAAGAAATCAATTTTCTAATAGTCCAGCCCTAAGCGCGAAAAGTACTATGGGCGTGTTTATTATTTTGAGATTGTATAGCGTTCATTTCTATAGCGCAAATGTACATGTGAAAATGATCAAATGCGCTTTACATCAAGTATTACGCTTACGTAATTACTTACTTATAGCCTAGACTATTTTATCTTTACAACAATTGTGATATTACTTTCTTAACTGTCTGTGTTTATCCTAACCCACCCTGTCAACTTTCCCTGTGAGAGGAAACCGGGGCACCCGGAGAAAACCCACTACTTTTGGCAGAGCGTTGACTGAGGCCTGTTTTATACGTCGAATTTCGATCGTGTCGAATGCAATTCAAACAATAGATAATGAAACTTAATGAGGTTTATCATCTCATTATCTATTGTCTTAATTGCATTCGACGCGACCAAAATTTGACGTATAAAACAGGCCTGACTCTTTTCACTTGAGTCGGTAGTGGAATCTTGCTTCTTGCTTGAGGTTTCTTGCTTCTTGCATCAATGACACTCTCCTTCGCAGAGCCTTACGAATTTTTAGTAAAATTACGTAATATTACTTGGGAAACAAATTACGTAATTGTTAGTCAAAACGCGCTAGGTATGGTGGGAAGACGGAAGTCAACCATCGGTCTCACCCCCCACCCCACGCAACACACACCACTAAATGTCCTCTACTATCCTTACATTATCCATACAATCCTATATGACTCTGCGGAGGAGAGTGCAACAATGATGCTAGGCACTATAGTTGTTATGTTTTACTAATTAAGTATTTCTACAATTTATACTAATCAAGTTAATGTAATTCCCGAAGAAGTTAAGGAGTTCCACAAACACTGAACTCCCTTTCACTCTTTAAGTACCAGATAAAACATGAGCAGCCGATCTGTATCTGATACACAAACTCACATTGTCTAAGCCGAGAAAATCAAAGCTGAAGTTTATGTAAATCAGGACAAATCTTTATCCGATTTACAAACATTGATTAAACATTCATTTCTTTTGTATTTTCCTCGTGAATTATTAATTTTTTAATTAAAACCAACATCAACTTGAGTTTACCTAGCCGTTAGTCTAAGCCCAACTCTAAGTAAGTTTACTATACCTTCTGTCTAACCTTAAACCTGACCTAATCCCTAACTATAACCTTTCTGCCTAGACCCCGAACCATAACAATTTCAAACTTTGTGACAGACATCATGCAAACATGCATCTGCTTCAAAGTCATCCTTGAATTTTGTTAACTTGTATATTTACATGTACTTTTCATTTTCAGCTTAGCGGAATGATTTTGAAATTAAAAGAACTATTTCACTTTATAAATGATTTAGGTTAAAATGTGTGGTGAGGGAGGTTCTCTGTAATTTGAGGCTTTTTTCGGCGTGAATTTATCATGTAGGGGTTTGTCGGTATTTACCTTATGGCAAATCTGACTCTATAGTTTCCATCCTATAGCACTCAATCTAAACGTAACCCTAGTACTGCCAACCCTTAACCTACTATCTTTTCACAAACATTTGCATTTGACTACTGAAATTACTGAATTCTGATTGGTTGAGGCGGCCCAGCCAATAAATCAATATGGAGAGATCATCGCCACCAAAAAATAGGGAAAAGAGTCTATTCTAAAATTTGAAAATTCATAACTGTGGTCTCAAAACTGTTTTAAAATTTATATAAGACATAATCACGTACAACCAACAAACAGTATTAAATGCATGATCTATTTTATTTCTATTTTCAATAACAACTAATCATTATACGTATTATTCTTTCTACAAGTGCATTTCTATAGCTAGATTTTGTCGCTTTTATTCTCTCGTTTATCAGCCATGATTCCATTTCAGAGTTTGTTCGTATATAGAGAAGTGATTATGAGCCTATAATAAAACAATTCAACATTAAACAATTTAGTTTCAAAGAATATTTTTTATTCGGCGTATATTTCAGATAAAAGCGTGTAAAACCTAAAATCATTTTCGTGTACCTTTCAAAAATCAAAATTGCTTCTTGTTAGCCGTAGGTATACCAGTTTATACATTTAGCTATGCATTTTGAAATAGGTCTGGCGTTTGAAAACATAAAATTGCTAAAAAATACCATTATCATTGATGCTATAAAATGGAAGGCATGCATGTTTACGGCAATATAACCAAAGCTTGATAAATCTCAGATGTCATTTTCTCTTAGCTTAAATCTCTTCGTTTTAGCATTATTTTACAGATAAAACACTTCTAATCATACTTTTAAAATTTGCTTGCCGATTGAAAAATATATCAATTTTGATGCAGTCATAAACATGCATGGGCATTATATAGCCTGCCTTCAGTTCTTAGCGCGCGTTATGTACATTAATTTACTTGCAAAATCTCTCGTCTTAAATAATTAACAAATTATATTACCTTATATAATCGATTAACTTAAAATTTAGAACAAAACTAGCTAACATCTCGGATAAGATAATACTTCTAACTATATACTGCCCAATCGTCATAGCTATGTTAAATAATATATTATAGAAGTGCACATAAAACTAAGGCGCATTCCCATGATGCATCATCACAATGTTTTGCTTGCAAGTAACATCCTCAATTGATAGGGCTGTGTTTTAGTCAGTGAACGCTTAAAATTCGCTGGCGGAGGCAATCTCCAATATCCTGTTTCTACAATCCTAGTCAAAAATAATGGCACACTAGTGACATTGACAGTGCGAAATTTGACTTCCACTAAAATAACAACTATAGCTTGCAAGGTGTCACGCAAGATGATCATGAAATTGTGAATAAAATGCGCAAGTATGTACATATCAACCAGCAATGGGGTAAAACTAGGAATTAGCTAAATTGCATGACTATACATGCGCCATGGATTTTTGACCAGGATTGTTAATTGATCTTATTATATTTTTTTTTAATTTTTAACATTCATGCATGCATGGGCTCTTATACCTCATGTCCACATTTTACAACACTTCAAATAGTCGATATCGTGGAGCCAATCTTTGTTATGATCACGAAATACTCCAACAACATAGTAACCAGTCTTTTTGCATGTTGTCCATCCTTTCTTATCAAACTTGTATCTGATATATTCATGATAACAATGTCCATACCGTTTAGGATGGTTCACAGGTTTGCAACATTTTCCTTCTTCTATGTTATGCAAGTTATTTCCTCCAGTACGATAAAGACCATTGAGAAAGTATCCAATTGGACAAAGACTCCATGTATTTTTCCTATTGAGAAAGCAACCAAGAAAGCATATACACACAAAAATATGACAATATTCACTACAATTTAAGGAGAACAGACCCGTATTTTGGCAGGGTCTGGGACTGCACATGCTACTCCTTTATATGGTCTATATGAAAACCCAGATCAAAAGAGGATGAGAACTAGTGCACGAGAGTTGGCGATCACGCGACCTTGCATGGTTAGCTTTTCTTAATGTTTTACTACCAGCACTGTCATGTAGCTATATTTTATTTAAGTAAAAACGTAGTTGGAACACTTATCATACCTTTATTTTGTTAATGTAGAACGTACACTGTAACAATTCGTAACGGCCAACTCTCATCAACTCTCATTCTATTTTGAGCGGGTCTTAATACTGTAGTTTTACTAAAGAATTCGCAAATGACGTCACAATAACGTATGCCTGTTTACAAATATAATTTTTTACTACCGTTGATACCATACCTTCCCGATATTCAGCTGCTTTTTTATACAGTAAATTAAAATTATATCTTAGCTTCACATTTTTATGCTAGATGAAATGACTATACAGTATATCATATAAAATTTCAATGCACTGGTACTTGACTAATCAAAATAGCCAACCGAGGTCCAAATTCCAAAACTATTTCATTCATTTTATAATTCATTCATTCATATATTAATTATATATTTCATTCATATATTAATTCTAGTACCTATCTACTCTAAAACTGATAATCTGGTCCCTTATAACAACAGGAATGGATCCAGCATGATCTGGTAGGGGGGGGGGTGCTTTGCCAGCTCTGGTGCCGAGTTGTGTCGGTCATGTGTGCAGCCCGCCCATCAACTTGCTTCACTACTGCAAAGTCTTGCTTGACTACTGTATTTGAATTGTAATTGTTGTTCACAGTTCGCTTATCATCATGTTATTACTCAACTTACTGTATCTCATTTTGTCTCTAATAATTTTTTGCTTTATCATGAAAAATAGCACCCCCCCCCCGCACCTCCTCTTCTAGCCAAGGCTAGGCATAGGCGTACGGGACGGGGGGGGCAGGGGCAGCTGCCCCCCAAAAAGATTACAAAGTCGAAAAGTCGGGCAAATGTTCAACAAAAGTCGGGCAAAAGTCGGGGAAAAAGTAGTCAAAGCAATAAAATCTCTCGTAATAATAACCCCAGTTTGGTTGGGCAAACCAAGCCAGTTGAGCAATATTCGCTTCACAGTCGGGCAATATTGGGTTATTATAAAAATAAATGGGATAAATTCTGCCAATTTTGCGGGAAATTATGTAAATGTTGTGATGTTTGGGAAAATTTGTTTGATGTTCCGAAAAATTTTGGTATGTCCGAAAAATGTTTGGACCCCTAAAATGGTACACTGACCGAAAATGTTTTGGCGACGGGGGTGGGGGGGGAGGTCGCCTAAACTTATTGTTCCGGAAAAAATTTTTTTCGGGCCACTGGTCGGGCACAATTCGAAAAAGTCAGGCAAATTTCTTTCTGCCCCCCTAATTTTTTCCTTCCCGTACGCCTATGAGGCTAGGGCATCCATCCCTGTATAACAACAAGATTTCGTTTGAAGTAATGAAAAATGAGAAAGGAAAATGTCGTGAATTTGTAGAGTACTAAATTTATAAAATTTGTTTTTGAAATAAAAACTTTAGCATATACACGGGAGGTGGATAGTGCTTTTCGCGCAATTTGATTGATTGCTCAGCTCTGGATATCCTGATACTATATTCACTTCCGGACAAAAACAAAATGACTTCCCGTTTCGTTCGTTACAGACGAGCAAATCTTTGTGCCAAACGAATTAGCTGCCGTTTCACCAAATAGAGGTTAAAGCTATTTCTATCTAATGAAAAAATCATAAAGTTACCGAAAGCGTATAAATATTGTTTTGTCTACAACTATTACGGGAGCTGAAATACAAATTAATATTTAAAAAATATTTTTTGACATGTTTTTTGGTCATTTTTGTTTTGTTTATGGTATACATATATGTACTATTTACAACATGAGCGGCCGTGTTGTGTCGGATATACAAACTCGAACCGAAGGCGAGAGTTTGTATATCCGATACAACACAGACGCGAATGTTGTAAATGACTTAAAAAACGACTCATCTTATGAGTTCATTGGCGAAGTAATTTTAAAAATAAACGTAGTCTAAGCCGAGAAAATCAAAGTTAAAGTTTATGTAAATCAACATGAATCTGTATCACATATATATATTTCTGCTTGCGCTGGGTATGGAAATTATATAATACACACTTTAGAACATTTTCATCTTAATATATATATATATATATATATATATATATATATATATATATATATATATATATATATATATATATATATATATATATATATATATATATGACGAAAAATGCTAAAATTGCAGCTAGGATTCATATTTATATATTAAAAGATTAAAAGTTTCTTGTCACTAGCTATGTAAAAAACCTTAATATATATAATATATACCTTAATTTATAGAGGTGCATTTTTGTGACACCATGCTGCAATCGAGAAAGTATTATGAGGCATTTCATTACCTGTCAAGAGAATCCCACCAGTTCGCATTTTTACATTCACTTTGTTGATTTCGATAAAGTGAATTCGAAGAACAACATTTTGCTTCTTCCAGTCGATAAATCTCATCCTTGTCCCAGCTTCCCAATGTGTTTCGATAAAATCCAGTAATAAAGAGTTTGTCGTTGTTACAAGTTGACCATCCTTTATTATCAAAAGAAGCCCACCAATTTTGATTCTTACAATAATTTGGATTCACTGTCACTAAAATAATTTTTAGGAGAACAATATAAACATCTATAAATAATCCTATGAAGGTTGTCCTTTCAATGTGAAAACTCAAAGTAACGGTTACTACCTCCCGCAAGTTATTAATTCTGATTTTACGTTAAGGAGCGTTTTATAAATGTACGAATACACCCTTCTGGAAAGTACGACACTTTGGCTATAGAGCCTCGCTTTCGTGATTGACCAGATTAGGCAGTTAACTTAAATGTCACATATAACGAAATACGTTTCAGTTACTTTAGTTGAGATTTAGGCAATACCATAAAATTATACATTTAAAAAGTGATATTTAATGACCTACTATTTTTTATATGATTTTACAATCATATAAGGCCTTTTGAGTCTGGGTTACTGTGATGAGGCTTCCAAGCGAATTGTGCTTTGCAAAACGCCACGAACAAATAGAATTACAAATACATATTGCGCTGTTTAATATAAACCAGCTTACAAGTTGAACGAGGAGATGAACTTGTATTTTTATTACTATGCGAGGTCACAAGCAAGTGCCAGAGAGATACAATTACAAGTAAACTACGTGAAGTGTTCCTCTTTTGAGTTCCTAAGTTAATTGCAATTTTCGTCAGCAAATTTGAAAAACCCCCTTGCAAATCCCTTGAGGGAATTTGCAATGTTCTTAAGAGCAAAATAAATTTTCCTCAGTTCCTGTTAGAAGTTCTTAACTTCCTGTTACAAGTTCCTAACTTCCTGTTCTGTTCTGTGCGTTGCAATTGGCTAACAAAAATAATCCACCAATGATAACGCTCAGAACAGAACAGAACAGAACAGAACAGAACAGAACAGAACAGAACAGAACAGAACAGAACAGAACAGAACAGAACAGAACAGAACAGAACAGAACAGAACAGAACAGAACAGAACAGAACAGGAAGTTAGGAAATTAAAACAGGAAGTTAGGAAAATTTGAAAGGAACTTTCTTTGCGTTGGAGTATTGCAACGGCCGACAGGAAAATTGCAAATTCCCTCAAGGGATTTGCGAAGAGTTTTTCAAATTTGCAAATCTAATAGTTTGAAAATTCCAAATGAGTTAGGAACACAAAAGAGGAACGCTTCACGTAGTTTACCTGTAACTCTTAGATTAATTTGATTAGCAAACATACTGGACATACATGTAGTTAATTAGATTACAAATATTTTGGATACAGTTCTTTCAATCACTAAACCATTATACATGCATAGCGTTCTAAGCATATAAGTACCTGATGGGGATTTAAAAGGAAGGAGTATGTTAACCAATTATTTTCATTATTATATTCAATGATATTTTGCTTTGATAATAATTATATGTACGTATGAATAAGTGTAGTTTATTTAATTGCTTTCAAAAAGTTAGAAAGCGTGCATTTTCGAAAGCGTGCATTTTCGTTAGAAAGCGTGCATTTTCGCTCGAAACCTGAGTTTCTGCTTGTTTTTTTATTGTAGTAATATAACCACTCAGCACAGCATACAATATTAAAATATAGCGAAAAGGAAACGAGGTAAAACGAGTGATATGATAAGACAGAACAACATGTGTAAGGACCTCCCAATTCACTAAAATAGAGATGAGCGAGCCTTTAGATAAGCTTACTTTTGTCGCAATTTTTCCCTTCATAACCATTCTTGCATTGGCATTGATACGACTCTCCTTGATTTATGCAATTTCCATTTACACATGGACTGCTTGCGCATTGATTTGTACCTATAAATTGAAAAATACATGCATAGCATTTAATCAGTATCACTTTAATGTCTTTAATCTGTATATTTTCATGCGTTTCGGTGAGGAATTATGAAGATTCTTATGAAGAATTATGAAGATAAGAAATTATGAAGAATTACTACTTAAATGTTGTAATTCTTTTTAAAACACATGGCCCTTTGAAAATCACACAAGTGAAAGGCTAGCGTGTATAAATATTTTTAAATAATAATAATTGAGGATGCGCTGATCGCGCATCATAACAATAATGTTGCACGCTCTCTGTCCGTGAAATTTGGAATGTTAATTTTAACTTTAGAGTTTTACCATCTGATGACTACATAGACAGGTAGTCTAAAGCTCACCAAAAAGTTCACGCTTAATCAGCGTGTGACGCATCATTGTGGCTATATAGTGAGACACGAAAAAATGTTTCAGGTTGCGCTAATAATGTTAAAAAACAAAAAATCCGTAGTATACGTCCAGAGCTCGGCACGTTACAAACATGTTGAGACAAGAGACGTTTTCCTTGTACATGGCCCCTTATATACTGATACAGGTTGACATACTCTTGCGGTAGATCCTGCGTTATCCCTATATTCAAAGCATGACGTGATGACGATCCACAATTATTATACAGGGTGTATAAAAAAAGCGCAATCCTCGACTGAAATGTAAATTGCTAAACAAATAATAGACGAAAACGGTAAAGTTTACATTCATTTTAAAGCGTAGCCATTCAACTTTCTAACAGTGGGTTGTTTCTTAAATTTGACTCATTGGTTCGCGGGTAATAATACTTTACGTTATTGCGATTGGAGATTAAAAAAATTGAGATGGAATGACAAATCGTTCTCATGAAAATAACTGA